TGGGATTATTTCTCTTATCTCTAAAATTTTGCTTTTGACATGGAATAAAAAAAGTAAGATATTATTATATTATTGTTATGAATATTATAATATTTTAAAAATGTTTCATAAAATGTAACATAGAATTTGGAGAATTTATATAAAATGGGAGGTTTTCTCCTACAATGCATGGCATTCATTAAAATACTCAAAAAAGCAAACTTTGAATTTGGCTCAAATTTCATTAAGGAGTAATGTTTCATAAAACATATGATTCAGTTTGTGTTTCAAAGTATTTTGAGTGCATGTCTTTATTTGTTAAAATTTGAATTGAACCATGTCGTGTAGCTTATGGCTTTCAGTTCAGTTTAACTGTCCCACAGTTCATGTTACTGGTGATGATATCATATCCTATAATATGAGTTAGTGTACATCAACACTCGTGTAATCTTATCTACCTAATATTTTTTTTAATACTTTCCAAATCTCGCCAATAGATGAATTTGGTTTATGTTATGTGATAATAGCTCTTTTCAAATCTGTCATAAATAAGAGTAATACTGTGATGGATTTCGATGGATACCATAGAAATATATTAAGATTTAAATTTTAGATGTTTTCAATTTAAAAGAAAAACATATTATGTCAAAGTGATGAATAGAATAAGAATATACCATTTTAATTATTTATTATTTTTACAGAAAATGTTATTTCAAGTGATCGATCCACGCCTGTGATTGCGACCCCAGCACCTCAGCCTGGTGCTATAACAGGTAGTGGTGATAGTGTTTGGGAGACAATGCGTGGCATGTTAGGTGGTGTACTAATTATCATACTGGTGCCCATTGGTGCATGTGTTGTATGCAAATTGAGGAAGAAAAAACAACATTCTAGGAACATAGAGAATGGTGAGTCAAAATTACTTTTTGAATAACATATTGTGTTTTTGTTGTCCTCCAGACATCTGTGTCCTCACGATACCTGCATACATTTGTACCATTTTTGTTGTTTGCAGTTTTTCATATTCTATAACTCCCTGTCTTAAGGACCTCAGGGTAATCTTCACTGCTACAATATTATGTGAATTTTCTTGGCTCACAAACTACTCAAAAATTTCTCCTTGGAAATTAAAATGGTTTACTCTATCTAGTAAAAAGAGTAAGACACATTATGTAATATTGTTTGTTTACTATGGCTGCAAATTTGTTTTGTACATCTAGCCAGCATTCTATCATTAGGTAAATTCCGACATGTTGCCTTCAAATTTGATAAACGCCTGGCTACCTGGAAGCAACATTATGTACAGCACAGTTGTATTGTCTGCTAGTTGACAATATTGCTGGTTATGTGTTCAAAACATATTCACGTCCACAGTATTTTGTTTTGCCATATACTTACCATACACCCAATCAATATCAGAGATATTGATTAAAGCTTTTGAGGCATATGCTCAATCTTTGCTCTAATTTGAAACTTCAAAAAAATATTCTTATGACATCAACAATTTTTAGTTGACCGAGAATCCCCCTGAGACTGCTTAGAAGTCTGTTTTGACAGACATCTATACCACATTTAGTGGTCAGGAGATAGTAAAGCTCAAACTTTTTTAGCCTTCGCAGACGAAGTCTGCCGAAGGCTTATAGATTGGGTTCTGTCCGTCCGTCCGTCCGTCCGTCCGTCCGTCCGTCCGTCCATTCGTCCGTCTTTTGCCTCCTATAACTTTGATATGCTCTGTCCAATTTTTTTCCAAATTGGTGCAAATGTAAATCTCAATGCCATACATATGCACGCCAAGTATTTTTTTGATTCGCCAAAGTTTCATTGTGTTTTTCTGTGATTTTCACATTTA